TTACCAGACCGAATTCTTCTGATGGACACCTTCTTCCAACTTCTTATATTCCGTGGAGATGTAAGTACATTCATTGTTATACCGAATCTTGTGTCTTGCTTTTATTTTCAGTTCAATACCATAATGGTGCCAGTGACTGGGAATTTTGATGGAATCCACAACAAACTTTTTATTTCCCACCAAATATGCTAATTTTCTCCAGAGAGGTCTTGTATCCTCTCCCAATACCCTTGCTTACCGTTTATAACCTGTAATACCTCGGTAGTTTTCTTACTAAAGTGTTCAGGTAATCTCTGTAATTATCATTATTCATGGAAAATAAAATGCTTTTGTTTGTAGACTATTGCAACATGGAGAAAAGCAGGCTATCATAACCAGGCAGAACATGAGAATTTTCGTCAGTTGTTGAACGCCCCCTCAGATGATGCCCAGGAGATACTGCAGACTAGATTCCCTATGCCAAGATATATTGAATGTGATCAAGAAGGAAGTCAGGTGAGTCATCTTACTTTAACGTAGACTGATTTTGTCTGTGATGCTTTTTGACTATTATGCAATGTTCGGAGAAAGTGAAATGGATTTTTATGACTGCTTCATTGATTTCTTGTAGTCAATAAAATCATTGTAATATGTAGTGTCTTCTAGTGATAAAGTGCTATTAAGTAAAATGAAATTGATATAGCTCAAAGCAACAACTATTTGGTATTTTACAGTACACATGTAAACAATATCGACATAGTGAAAAATCTATCGATCTACATTACGGTTGCTTTATACTTTTTTACCTTGCCCAATATGATATCAAAGTGGCAAGTATAGTGACTCACAGTACACCGTCGCTTTGGCCTTCGCTGTGCGTCGGCCAATACTCTCGCTGTACTGTCTTCGTGCATACTTTGAGGTATCCTCGTAATAACCTCTTATATCAATCAAGATATAGTCTTGGTGCAGTTCAAATGATAATGGGGTATGATGATGATGATGGGCCCACACATTTCTGCTAAACCCCGACTCCAACCCCTGAGAATTCATGATATTATATAGTGAGATGCATGCCATTCACCAATCAGACTTGTGTGGTGGTTGAGGTGTTGTTATGAACAATTTCTCAATAATTCCCCCCCCCCCCAAATGGCAGCAGTTGTTGTTGAGTACAAATATAATTCCCTTTTACGGAAAACAATGCCATCAGAAAGTACCAAGATATGGGACAAGGTCTATTGAAGGTACACTGTACAATATGTTTTCATCTTGGAAATTGCTAACAAATTGTAATGTAAGCTTTCCCTCCCCGAGTGGACTGCATGCATATTGAATAGTTTTCAGCTGCCAAAAAAACAAAACAAGGAATATTTATATGTCAATATTGCGTCAGTTGTACTCTGTTGACTTTGAATGATGTTTCTTATCTTGCAGGCTCGTTTCTTACTTTCCAGAGTGAACCCATCACAAACACACAATAATATGTATGCCTGGGGCACGGTGAGTTCATGTAAAGTTTATTGTATGCTAGTTAGACCCATAATGTCATTATAATTTCCTTCTCAGTTTATTATTTGGTTGAGTAAAAACATTGCTTGTTACTTAGATTTTTTAGCGTGTTCATGCTTCAATGATCTACCACAAGCTACTTAGACAAGCAGATGAACATCAATACATCTTGCAGGTCAACATTTGTTGGTTTCTGTGACCCGTGATATACATGAAAAGTCATCCAATCTTGAGCAGAAAATTACATGCATCTCAAACCTGTAAAGGAGTATATTTTATGTGAAATATTGCTACACATACTGAGTTAGGCAGCTTGGTATTATAAATAAGACCATATGTAAATAATTATTGGAACCAATGGTTACTAAAAAATAAAACCAAGCATGGAGCAGTGTTCTCCCAGATGTTCAGCGGTTTTACTATCATGCCATGCCAATCAGTTTGAAAAAACTTCAAGTTCAATTGAAAATCCCAAGACGTTGACGATGAATGAAAATCAAGCTATTGTAAAAACAAAAACAAAATAAACATTTATGCAAATTAGATAGTACACTATAATAGTTAATATTAATAAGCTATTTATAAATTGGTTTCTGAGGAGAACTGATGAAGTGTGTGATACAACAGGATTTGAAGGGTGTCACTTAAACCAACATTCAGGGCAGTGAGGTGATAAATTGTCTCATCTCGTCAAGCAGTGGATTTAGATTGCAATCGTAAAAATATTGCATTGAATTACTGAATGGATTAATTAAAAGTAGAGCACAAAGAAATGCTTCCTTGATACTAACCCTCAAATAATATGTTGTTTTCTTTCATACTTGCCCGTTTTCTGACGCTGTCATTTGTGGTGGTTTTGAAATTTATACAGCCTGTGGTACTTAGTATTCTATTCTATTTTTAATTTTATTCTTGTTTATATTGTCATTGACACTGATACTAACACAGTTGGGATGAGTTCTTTTGTGGTGGTGGTGGTGGTGGTGGTGGTGGTGGTGGTGCTTAGAGATCTGACACATACACTCACAGCTTATTGACAGTTTTACATCATGCAACCAATACATGTATGATTCAGTTTCTTGTTAGGTTGATTACACTATTTAAAACCTGCCTCTTTCTTGAATATTTCATTTAGACAGCAAGCATGCTATTTTTAATTCTTGTTTAACAATCTTGTTGTCATTCAGTCATTTTCATTTGACATTTAAGACACAAGGGAATAGCTTTTCTCTGGTGCCATAATTTCCTCTGATCAATCCTAATTTTTTGACAATCTATGTCTGTCATTACCGGTGTCCTCACTCTCAAACTACCAACTACGTACAGATTATCGGTGTCCTCACTCTCAAACTACCAACCACGTACAGATTATCGGTGTCCTCACTCTCAAACTACCAACCACGTACAGATGGCATTATATGTGTTCTTGTGATTATTGTGATGTAGATTGTTTGTGAATTGCTCCATTTTGTTTTATTTCAACATTTAAAGGTCTGTGCCATTAATTTTGAAGCAATTTGACTAGCTTTTATTATTTCACTCAGAGATAAAAGTAAATCCAAAGTGTAGAAACAACAATAAGAAAGAAAAAGCCCAGACCTTTAAATGTTTTAATAACTACAGTCAAATCATTCAATTTTATAGGACTATTGACCAGACAGACTATAGATTATGTATTTAAACACATGGCCTGCTCAAAGCTTCTATGGGTAGCCAAAATGAATTTGAAAACACAAGCATCAACAGACCATATGTCTACATTTTCCGATAGGTCATTGTTGCACTCCTAGTCAGATTTGTTCTGCACCACAAGCATGGAACATAAACCAGTTGTTTCACATTGAAGAGCAAAGTATGCCACCCAAGTCAACAATTAACAGCAATTTGGGCCCTCTAAACAACATTTCCTAATCAGTGATGTACAAAGCATGTACACATAATTCATACAGCATGAATTATTTTTTCTTATTTTACATATCTTGAGCGACGTCTTCAGTCTTGTTCAGAGTGCACCTTATTTATTTTTTTTGGCAGTAAATCCTGTGAAAAATGATTGGTTAAAATACAGTAATCTATAGTTGTCATCTCTTAAATGTATATGTATGTCTTTTTCCTAATTGTAAGTTATTTGTTTTCTCCTATTCTGTATTACAGGATGGTGGCGCTCCGGTTTTAACAGACGATGTCAGTCTTCAAGTTTTCATGGATCATCTTAAGAAATTGGCTGTATCTAGCTCATCCTAAAGTAAATAAAAAAGACTGGTACCACTCACTCCAAAAAACAACAAATACAGAATTCTAAATATTTGGTAATTTCAGTGATATGTACATTTTTAAAATTTTATTTTTCACTGAATCAAAAATTTGGTTGACTAATTTATACAAAAAAAAAAATGTCAGTGTGTATGACCTGGTTAATCTGACAATCTAGATTTTCTGGCTGCATATATTCTCGGTATTGACTACAATTTCGGCAGAACCTTGAACTGAGGGGCATTAAAATACTTTGTCATGTACTTGATGATGGAAAAAAAGACAACCATACATTTCACTTTCATAGATCTCCAGATTGACAGTCTTATCCCTTTTTTTTTTTATTAAAAAAAAAAGTTTGCATTGGTGTACTGTCATTTACTTTTGCTGTGCTGTTAGATGAAACATTGACTCAACATCATTTTTGTGTAGTAAATATTGGTTCAGTTTTTGTTTATTAGCTTAAAACATTCAAATATAGATTTACAGAGTCTGTCACTTCTCAAATAAAATATACCAATTATGATTTACACGTTTGTTTCTTCTGATGCTAGTATGCTGTGTCAGTTGTTTGTATGATCAGATTTCGCAGATATCTCCCAAAACAATGATTCTGGCTTCCCATTTGAGCCACAATATAAATGCAGTTGTACATTGGATTCATGTCTTGTAACTGATAGGTAAAGTAAGGCTACAAGAATGCTAATAGTAGTTAATGGCCTGTTCGTAGTCTAGATTCTAGTAAACGTGTAATGACAGTAGGTATTGGTGAAACAATAGAGACAAGCCAAAAGTATTAGATATAAACCCAAAGTTTTGACTATTCAGTAAAATGCATGAGGGCACCAGACCAAGTGTGATTTACAAGACCCTATCTAAACTATTGGTATATATCTGAGTGTTTCGTGCACAGCACTGAACAAGAATAACCCCTGCTGCTGTTGCATTTTTAAATAGTGAGAGGAACATTTTGCTTTTCACTTGAGTAGTGTGATAAAAATCAAGTTATGAAAAACGGTCCTCTCCCATTAAATAGATATTGTTGAGGACAACAAAACTGGTTAAAAAAAAGCGAGCAAAGAACATCTGCTATTGAAGAGTAGAGAACTGTTAGAACAATAGTGACAAGCTAAAAACTGTTACTATTGAAACATGAAACAGATTACTTGTGCCTTAAACTTATCTGAGAAAGGACCATAAAATGAATCAACAAAGCTCCTATAAAGGGTGCCCTCTAGCAACGAAGCTCTTCTATGCAGTAAGTGGTTGAGAGCATGGCCATTCATAGCATCATTGTTTTGATCTATTGTTGGTCAATACAAAAAAGGGGTTTGTGAGATTAAGGACCACATCCACCATGTGTTTAAATCATGGAAATGTCCTATTGTTACAGGGCTTTACCTGTAGGTGTATTGACTTGTACACTCCATACTTAATGCCTGTACTTATAATAAAGATGTATTCCTGCAAATATTTTCAGGTATATTATTGAACCTGATGTTGAAAATATTTAAAAATAGATAATATTATCATGGCAAGTGTTTCTGACAAGTTCCAAGTGTGGATGAGCAGTGTAAAATAACTACTATATAGAGTGAAGATTAATACAATACAACATTTCTTTTACGGAGTACCTGGTGGAAATTGCTTACAAATACAAAATTCTATGGAGACAAGAGGATCCTGACACTCTTCGTATTTTTGATAACGTGACGTTTGTTTGATAGAGTTGATGATTCCTTGTGCATCCACAATTAGTTGCCATAGCGATGGGCCTTCAATGGCAGAGAAGGTTATGGCATACTGGTTCATTTCATTTCCCTTAGGGTTATTGCCATGTTTATACACGACTATATTCACAATGTCATTCAAAGTGATGTCACGACATGTTGTGTTACTTCTTCCATGATGTATCAATACTTCCATTGAATGTTTCAAATTTATCTCCGAAATGGCTGTGTCAACAAATCTATAATGTTCTTGCGTCCAACTGTGGTTTGGTAGTATAATTGGCATGTTGCACACACAGGTCCAACTGGGTAATCCTGCATCGCTGCATGTGCGGTTTTTTGGGATCACATCGGTCAACAAGTTGTACGAATTATGGTGGAAATGACCACTCGTCCGGTTCAGAAACGGGTAATGAAAAAGTGACTTCATAGTTCGGTGTACGTCGTAGAAAACCACGTATCTCCTGCTGTTTAAAAGTAAGTTTCGCTCCCACTGTGGATTAGCAAAGATTAAGGTTTTTGGGATAATGATTGAAAAAAATGGCAATAAAACCTCAAGGTGGCTCCCAAGGTGTTTACTTGCAGGTCCTTGGTATATCTGACCGTGGTCGCCAAACATGAAGATGAACAAATTGGGATTTTCCCTCATGACTGCTTCCAGAAATGAAACTAAGCTGTCATCCACTTGATTAATAGATTCGTGTTCTGGTCTGTGTTGAGCGTTTAAATCAAATGCTGCCCACTTTGCAGGGTAGTCGTATTCCAAGAAGTCTCTCGTATAATTCAAAATGTAATCATGAAGCATGGAGTCTCCTTCACATAGCCCCGACCACACCTCTCTCTCTGGTTCCACTACGAGAGGGGAATTCTCACGGGCTACCCACAGGTGATCAAAATGTGGCAAGACACCAGGGCGGTTTGTGCATGTTTTACACGTAGTTCGTGTACCCATTAAACCATTTCCAGTATCAATGCCATAACTGGTGAGGTAGCCACGTTGGTTCGCGTAATCCCACATCCATTCTTTCACAGATCGTAGGCTGTGTCGCAGTACTCTCTCCTCTTCGTCAATTCTGCTGAAGTATTCCCCGGCATATAGTGGATACAAATTCATTGCAGTGATGCCACTGATGGAGTTGACTCTGTTGAAGAGAAATGCTTGGTGACTGCATCGATCATCTGCAAAACCTGTGCATTCCTGCAAGTACAACTTATGTATCAGTTCTGCTGTCTTGGGTAGACCACACTTACGATGGAAATGTGCACGCGACACAGAATCCAAACTAAAAGATAGTACTGAGACTGGATCAAAATTTTCCTCTTGTGATTTTATCCCTTCCAGAATATTTTTCTGCTCTTGAGATCTATTATTTGGCAAGAATTGAGTTCTATAGTTATGTGAGATGGCAACAACTCTGCCATCTTCCTTGAACTTGCACTCTACATCAGCAAACTGGCTAGTATTAAAATCAAGCATGTGTGGTCCAATATACTCTACCCATTCTGGGCTCTTTACAAATTTCCCATTTGATGATGGTTTCTCTGACTCTTCGTGATCAATAAAGTTAATTCTGAATACATCACTGCAGTTTACGAACAATTTTCGTTTTTCACGATCGTGATGAACAAAAGTTGGGCTAAAATTACATCTCCATTGTACATTCCTGCTGCACAAATCTTTGGGTGGGGGCACTTTGGGTATTGGACAAATACTGTCACTTTCTGGGCCAAGCTCCTCACTGAATAAGAATGGTCTCAAGTAAAGCAGGTATTTCCGCTTTGTCTCTGGTTTCCATGGATACTCGTTAATCTCTTCATCTGTGATATTTACTCTGGCGAGAGTTGGACGAATTTTTCCAACATTCGTTTTCATGAAGTGTTGTGTGGGGGCGCTCTTCACAATCCGTGTTACATTCATTACATTTCCGTTGGAGACTGGTTCAAGAACATTGATTGCTTTGTTTCCCGATAGCTTAATATTGTTCACCGCTACCAATAATACGAGCTGCATTAACACAATTGCTGACAGAACGAGATACAGAACTCTGCTCTTCCTCAAGCGACTGAGAACTATTGATAATAAATCCATACCTACAGTAAAACAGCAGTAGTAGTTTAACACAAACCAAAAGTTTGTAACGCGGTGAAAAGTTCGCCCAGCATTCTAGGTTTCTCAGTATATCCAAATCGCTCAGCTACAGTCGCACCAAATGAGTAAAGTTCATATCCGGCCATGCGTTAATCATTGATAACGAGTTTAATAAGTTGCTAATAAAAAAAGGAAGGAAAGTATATTACTAACTGTGGTGGCGCTACTTCATCACTACTGCACGTATGTTTACAGTTAAAAATTCACTGCGTTGTGATTTTTATCACTGAAATTAATGTTTGGATTGTGTGCATTTAAACAGGATGTTTGTGAATCAGACTAAATTTCAGGATTAGCACGCGTGTATCAAGTTTCAGGACACTCCATGGTCAGTGCCTTCCTGTTATTGAGAAAGTAAGCCAGAGTACAGAAAAAATTATAATTTATGAGATTGCATAAGAATTGTCACACCACAGGGGTTAGTTTACTGACACTAACGGTAACGACATGTTCATGGTAAAGATTCTAACAAATGCTTAAGGCCAGGTATCGTTGAAACAAGAGACAAGACAAAAAGTAGTATTACAGATATAAACCCAAACTTTTGGTGATTCAGTAAAATGCCTGAGGGCACCAGGCCAAGTGTGATTTACAAGACCCTACCAAAAATATGGGTTTATATCAGAGTTTTTCGTGCACAGCACTGAACAGGAATTGGCCTTTATCCTGCCAGTCCCATGTACTTTTACATTGACTTGACAATTTACAAAAATATAAAAGATTTGTTATTTGCTGATTCAGTGTAAACCCTGACACGACATTGAAATGACCATTCTAATAATCAAAATAGCTCAGTCATAAAAGGCCCTGCTTGCTATGCTTAATGTGGGTTTGAACCCTTTCCTTGGTCAACTTTTTTGGTTTACAAAATCATGGATTCCAATAGAAACCCCCTTTAGACCTGGGTGCAACCCCGTGGCCATCTTTTTCTCATTTAATGTACTACGTTCAGCGATGGCCATCACAAATTGACACTAATGACACCTAAAATGTTTTATTAATAAGTATTGGAGGAAAAAAGATTTTTACAGCTATTGTCGCTATTATAGCTTTAACAGAAATAATAGTAGTGATGGATCACATAATCAAGTGGTATAATCATTGAAATGGATTAAAGTATTACATTTTTATTATCAAATCAAATAAGTGCCATATATCAAATGCAAAAATTAGACAGCCTGGCATTTGTGTGTATTCTGTTGCGAGTTTGGGATCTGGTACTCTTGCGTAAAGAGGAAAGTCCTATGAAATTGAATATTGAGGGTATGTTCCAGGGCAGAATTTAAAACTTCAAATGCGATCCATGCTTATCTCACAAAAGCAGATTCCAGTTTATGTTTTATTTTACTATACCAGGTACATGGTAAAGACTTGAAGTAGGTTTAACAGCTAGTACAATACTGCCTCAATGCTACATGTACTTCATGTCAGTAATATGAAGGCGAATTCAAAAAGAAAAAGGTATTGCTACTTCACAACATGCATCCAATGCTGCTATTAGTTGTGAAATATTCCATTTAAATGTTTCCATGTAAGTTTCACTATATGTACAGTCCAATACTTGGAGCTTCCTTTATTGAAAGAATAACAATATCTTGACATTGATTTGACATCTATATTTCCAGGGTGTACTTACCCCAGAACATTTGTCATGTTACTGCTACATCTTTAATCAAGCTATGTGATATACGACAGTCTTGTGTTCATAAAATGAACATAGCCATTCAATTGGTTGAACTATCATTGTCGATCTTACGTTTGAAATAGGACCATGTAAATACCACACAAGATGGCAGTTCAAACGGTGAACTGATCATGCAGGTGATTACTTCAATTGTGTCTACATGATTGTGAATGAGCATCTAACACAAAAAAGCAAGTGTGTTGACATATAAATACAGTCAACTAATCTATTCAGTTATTAGTATTGCTTAGCGTTTGTGATTGGCTGCCGCTTGCAGTACAAAGGTTATGCAAAAACAAACCTGTGTGAAGGCAGAAAGATAACTGCATAGCAAAGTCATTGGTGTAGCTATATAGCAGTAATGTGACACAAATTCTGGGTATACTATAACTACCAATACACGAAAATAAAGGGTACTTCTTTGATCTGGTATTTAGGGGGGGTGAAGTCTTCTTAAACAATCAGTCGATGGCATAACGACCAATAGCTTCCACTCACAAGACATATTGGGGCACCTGTATTTATGAATATGTCAAAATAAATAAGACAAGACCACAGATAAATTAAGAGAGTGGTTTATTAAGCAATGTATAATACATTACAATCTATGGCGTGCAAGTTACTGCATGCAATTGTTGCTGGCGAGTACCAATCAACACCAACAGAAAAGTTTCATGCCGACAGCATGGTTTTCATATTTCCCGTACAAAAACCTACAATTCTGACACAAGGAACTTGCAAACTGGTCATCTTAATATTGCTGAAACAGTTTCTGGTTTGTAGTAGACAAACCATTGGCTCTTATTTCGCTTTGGTATCTTGAATTTACATGCCAAATACCGGTAATTCAAAAGTTGCAATTATGTACATAAAGTACGGCTTTACAAGGGATATACAATCACTTACTGGTCATATTTTAATTGTTGGTCATGTCTCCATTTCAACCTGGTTAATTAACTGTCTTGAATAAGCGAAAAAGGCATGAATATATTCTGATCAAAATGAAACTTGGCATGAGGTGAGGTAGGGTGTTACCGTGTCTACAGTGCAACTACATAGCACCTGTTTATAATAGATCGAGGGGGTGGGGTGGGGGGGCTTGTGGGTAGCACTGTGCCCTAAACTGAGATAACCAAGAGTTTTCTAGTTATTATAGTTATATATTGCAATATACCTGTAATGTAATGAACATTCAAATCTATCTAAATTAAAAATTAAGACCACTTCCGAAATTTACACATTGTGATACACATGTGCTGATAAAAAATATAAGATTTGCCATTTTAAAACTGCCTCCAAGTTTGACAGAACACTTGAGTAGCAACACATCTAGGATTGCCAACAAAACGAGCAACCACCAGGAAATGCACTCACATTGAAAAAATTACCTTTCAATAAATTCAAAACTTAAACTTTTTTCTTTTTCACAAAAATAAACGTCTCAATACCTCTGCATTTATACTTAAACTAATGAAATTTATGATATCAACACTACAGAAATACAACTCAATAATTTAATGATGGTGACACGCAAAAAGTTTTTCCTACCAGTTGTTGACTGACGAGGGCGCTGTTCACCAATATGATTGAGTGAATGATTCCCACTGAAGATGGGAGGAGATTTATTTGTAATTAGATTCCTAATAAATATCACATTTTTAAAGATTCCAGAATATTAGTGAAAATAATTTGTGTTGCCACATGACAAATCAGTAAACACTGAGTGACCTCGTTTGAAAGTCAAGGAGGGACACAGGAAGCAATTACATAAAGAGACAAATAGAAAATCATATTAAACATTTTTTATGACTGATAGAGATAACCTTTGACCTTGTCCAAAGAGATGCAGAGATCAACACTGTAAATTTATCCAGGTGAATAAACACAGCAAGCAGAATGTTGGGCTTTGTTGTAAAAATCATTTCCACTTTGGCAATTTAAGACCTGGTTGCTTTTCAAATTAACAAATGCATTAAAACAAGTCTCTCAAAATGGACAGCCTTCAGTGCCTTGACCTCCCTTGATTGTATGTGTTATGTTCACTAACCTCTGTTTATTACTATAAACAGTGGTGTTTTCACAACGCTACCTAAGTACTGTGTACAGTAAAACATTTTGTTTAAATTTTAAACAAAATTTCACTGTGACCTATTCACTGCTACAATATTTCAGGATTTTCTTAGACCCGCAAAATTTTATCTCCCGCAAAACCAAAGTGATTTACCTTGTACAGCACTGCGTTGCAATCAACATAGAGAAAGTGATGCAAAGCAACATTAAATAGCTGCCATTATTGGAATGAACATGCCGAAAAGTACAGTATTAGGATGTTTTGAAAACCAATAAATCCATTGAGCACCATATTTTCTCCCCACCAAATTGCTAGAGGTACATATGATTTAGTCTTCTATAGTTATCTATAATTTCATTGATAATTTTTAAACAAAATGAACATAATTTTTTCATTTCCTATTGATCAAATTTAGTGAAAAAAATATGAACAAAACAAGAATTCATAAGATAAGGTTATGATAACTAGGTACGGTAATATGCGATAAAGATCTCATGAAAAACGAACATAATACACGTTTTATGAATAAGCAAGGACATTAAAATAAACAGTCAGAGAATGAGTCACGAGTGGTTCCACAAACATACGTGAATATCGCCTTGAGATTTTGTGATCATCTCCAAAATTATGACTTCATTTCACATGAGATTTTCATCGCATATGGCATACCCTAATCTTATAAATCTTTGATAAAATTAAATGAATTTATATTAAGAAAGTCAACAAATGTCCACTTTGGCATTCAAAGGGTTCTTTAAAAGTGAGCACGATGAAGTCTGTATTGCTGATATTACTTTTTTCTTAATAGCTAAATCTAAAATTTTTCGTCTTTACGTAAAATCTATTTATATATATGCTTTAATAAAAAAAGGGGAAGCACAACACTATTTGTTCTATGGACAAAAAACAGTGATCACGGAAGACGTCTTTAAATTAATGTTTTTCACATAGACAGAATGAGTCGTGTTGAAAGACTCCATACATCACTTCCCCATTAAGAACAGTAAGTAGACTACGATCATTATCACCGCAGTAATCGCTACAAATCGTTATCACAGCTACAAATTACTACATAAAAACATGCATAAACCACAACATTGCTCATTTGTTAACGTCAAGCAAACAGGGTTTACCAAAAGTATTAAAAAAACATGATCACCAAGCGATCATGCTGTCAAACCAAGGTCTAGTTCTCCCCATTCAAAACATAAGGGCAGTATTTAACCCCAATAATTTTAAAATATATTTTACAGAGAATGAAATGCCTGCCACATCTGTGATGCAAAGACGAACAAGGGGGGGAGGGGGGAGACTTAAAAACACAGATTTTCATAGATATTATAGTCACCATTAATTAATGTCCATAGTCTTGCATGATAAAGATATCACCAATGAAAACTGTAATAATAATAATAAATGTTTTGTGTTCACTTCATGTTATTAGTGTCTCTACACCATAAGCTGGATGTTGTTTCCATGACGATTACCATATGAAGCATTTTATCAGAACCATCCACCAGTCAACTTGTGAAACAATTCCTCGTTCAACGTTTGATTCTGATCTCTCGATCGCATAGACAAGAAAATATAACCACCGATAAATTCGTGAACAATTTTACAATCTGCGCTGTGGCACGCAAAGTGGATGTTTTCATCTTCCATTTGTACTATGACCTCTTTCACCTCCCAGTTCACATGCCATGCTGTCATTGTACTGTAACGCCACGTTGCTTTCGAATCACCGCTGTTGATGTCCATCTTTATTAATCGGTTGTAGCACACACCTAACAAGTCCTGAAATTACAACAAGAATTAAAATTACAGTTAAAATTCAATTAACTAATTAGTCTAATTATTGGACTTGCCACACAAAAATACATTATGCGATGACATAGAAAAATTACTGCACAATGCCTTTTACTTACTTCTTTCTTTGAATTTCTGAATTTGACAATGAAATATGTGACACCGTACTCTGGAAGTGCTTGCCAGGCTTTGATATAACTCATCTTCGCTTCTAGCAGAGACATGTTCCGTGCATTGCTGTGGCCTTCTAAGATACGACCGGCAATCTATAGAACAGAAAGATAAATATGCAAAAACATGGTGAGAGTTGACACAAAGATTTTAGATGTATGCAACATGCCCAAGTCAAACTCAAAATACATCGTACCACCATTGATATATTACATACTTCATGAGAAATATTTTTTATTTCGTAAGTTTATAGTGATTACAAAGACAAAACTTCACAATTGTCAATGACTCCATGTCTTAAGAACCCCAGGGGAAATTTAACTGCTACAATATTTGGCAATCTTTCCAGACTCATAAAATTAAACATTTTACTCACATAAAATTAAAGTAATTTACAGTAAGCTGGAAGGATCGAAAAAAAAAATTAAATGGAATGAGATAATACTTCAACTGTAACCCAATTTTCAAAATTTCCATTACGAATTTTAGAAAAAAAGGGAGCCACTGTGAATTTTTGTAAAATGTTATCTTGGTGCTTACAGATTTATAGACGATCTCCTTTTACCTGTTTTGTCTTAAATTTCTTGAGATATCTTGAACACACAAAATCTTCAACAGCAATTTCGGTAGTATCTGGACTGATATTTTGTGACGCTGAGGACACTTTACGTTGCTGCATGCTCAGAAACGCTAAGATTCCCTGGACTTCAGACTCGTATGAACTGTCAGCCATAGTCTTACCTTTAGACGCAAGTCTAAACGCAGCCATCCAGTTGGCATACTGGGCTTCCTGTGTAGAGTGATGAAGAAATATACACTGAACATTTCTGAAATCAAGAGCTGTTTTATGGCCAACGTTACTTGTACTGATAAATGAAAACAATGTCATCTAATGAACCCCTTAATATTTAATGACACAATAACAAAACATGATAACGACTCAAAAAATGATAATCGACTTACATTATCACATCTTATGAGGAATTCCTGCATTCCATCTGACAATGGCACCAATAACCGCATACCAAATTTACTGTGACTGATATTGACATCGGGCGTGATTTCACAGCCTAGAGAAAGGCGATTATGATTAGGTCATGGTCATCACATCGGGCGTATAGAGACAATCACATGATGGCCATTTTTTATATTGCAAATAAAAAACAATATTTGCCATGTGTGATAATTAATTTAAAATAAATGCATCCCCCACATCAAAAATGGGTAATAATAATCTTGAGAGCATGTCTTGAGTGATTTAATATTACACTGATAACTAAAGCTGAACAATGGGAAAATGACACAAATCCCTTTATACGTCCTGGCACCACAGGACAAGATTCTCATCTGTATTGAACCAACAGTGTCAACAATAAAATTAAATTAACTCGCATACCTTTCAAATTAATCTTCTGCGTGGGGGCGCCATTGACATCCTCATGACTTTTATAATATGCCATGTGGGTATCTTTAAAAACAAACCAGTATCTCTTAAAACCTTTAAGTGTCAGCTTCTTGGGTCTGCAAACAATCAGGAAGATAGGTTGGGGTCAATGACCTCAGACAGTCCACCCAGAATTCAACCAAGTAATGTTATCAGTTATTTTCAGCCTGGTTCACTGCCTTATTCCATACTCACATTGCACTCTATTTTTTTTAAATGCTCTAAGAGCTGAAAACTGGGCAGAGTACCAGACTAATGTTTCCACTCATACTCACTGATCAACATAAATTATTATGGACAAGTTTCAACAACAAAAAAACAAACATGTTTTAATGTTTTATACACATTTTGAAGTACTGTTAAATTATTAATAATATCTGGATTTGAATTTCTGATAAGTGAAATTAGGTCAGTATGAGGAAGTAAATTACAGAACTTACAGTACCTAGCCAATACCTCAGTATATGTAGAAAACCTATAGATTTAACCAGCTGATAATAGAATGTTCAATTCAAGACAGCTGGTCAGCAACATATTAGATGACAAAATCATTTCTACCAAACTCCAAGAACACTTACTGCGCATTTCTTGAGAGAAACTAATATAAAACTACAGACAAATAGAAATGTTACTTACTTCAAAAATCGGAGATAATCGGAGAGCTCTGGAACATTCGTAATATCCCCCTAGAAAGCGATATCAAATATTGGAAAATGAAAACAACCACATTGTCTTAGTCGGAAAATCAGTATGACACATGATACGTATCATCCAATGAAATATTGATGCGGGTATTATGTGCTTACTTACTATATGCAAATACAGTATGTCACGTTTTGTTTTGTTTTGTTTTGATGAAGTATTCAACATTTACTATAATGTATGTCACATGATCAGTACCACCCAATAAAATCTTAGAATGGGGTGTTTGTTACTATATTGCCTACCTGTGCCATAGATATTGACGTCCCCTCTAGTGACACTTGTAAGTCAGTCAATGCAGCGTCAATATCATCTACGCCACCATCAGTTGTGTTGTTACCATCCAACTGTGGTATTTGTGATTGAAGGTTTACTTGTAACTAAAGAGAAAATCATAACGAATTAACAACTTTGTTCACTCTTCATTCTCACAAAGACGTCGCTATAGTAGTAGCGATCATGAATGATCAAACTAATCAGTCAGGAAGGTTGTTCAATTAAATGAATGTTTTATTTATGAGTGAATCGACGACATTAATGAATCCAAAAGAAAGTGTTTCCAATTTCACAATCATGTTCGCTACTCTCACTGAAAAAATTACGTTGTAAGCAGAGAGTAGCCTAGCCTAGCCTAGAACCTATCAGATACATCTACAATTAACACACGTTGATTAATGAACACGATTACGGCCAGCTATTGGCAGCAAATTTCAATGGAATTACTTAGGTACCGGTAGTGTAAATCACAGGTTATGAGCATGCACCATTTAAACTGCAAATGGAATTGTAGGTCACGTCTAAGATAAACCGGCCACTGTAACTAGGCAGTATTGTTGAAGTACGAAAAAACGCATACTATTCAGGAGTGTTTAATTTCATAATTGTTCAACTCCAAGCACAACATCAAATAACTGGGTGTACATATATAATATCAAAAACTCACCTGTAATGCTGCAAACATCATGACCTCCTCTTCCGTGCACTCTACTTCCTCCGTCAGTATCATCCACTTGGCTTGTTCATAAATCTGATTAATACGAATCTGGTCTATTTTAGGATCCAGGTCGTAGAAAGCGAAGTATTTAAATCTTAATAGGATGACATCATTCTCCCGCACCCCTTGCTGCATCAACGACCGCGATGAATCAAGCCATCTAGAAGACAGAAAACAATGCAGGCCACTGTACTTCTTGAATAAACTAAGGATCCAATCTGGCCATGATTCTTTGGGGCAGCAAGACAAAGACTTCATAGATAGGACGGTTTTGTCAACAGTGCTTATAGAAGGGACATTTCTTTCAACAGAATAAAATACTGTGACCCAGTGTGATCTATCATGCCCTCCATTGATCCTATATACATGACTAGGGTTAAAACGCTGTCATTGGATAATCAAATTACAGATGTAAAGGTGAGATACAAATAACGAATGATAAAACAAGTAAATCAACATGGATTTTTTTAGATTGAATTTCTACTTCTGGGATTATGGCTATTAACACAGTATCACTTACCCTGCATTAATACATGCTTTCTCTTTCAGCGATTTTGGACGATACATCCCGTCCAGGGCATGGTCGCAGGGACTCATGGGACTCATGGCCAGTGAGGTGTTGATTGTATGAAAGGAATCACCGTAGGATTGATTGAGCGAGCCGGGAGTCCCCGCACTACCGTTGGTACCAGTGGAGTAACCGCTAACACCTTTGTTTCGTGGAGTTGTTTGATAAAACACGGCTTGTTCGTTTAACGTTGACGGATGGTATATGAATCCTTGGTTGCTAGGTGGAAGTGGATATTGGCTGTAGCTTCCCGGTGACCACGTCTGCATGCCGGGGTACACCGGTGTTCCTGGGGTGCCGGGTACTCTGTGTTGCGCAGCAGGGGAGCTGGTACGCATTGGTGAATGCGGTGCAATACCATCAAAACTACCTTGTGATCCACCTTCCAAACTGTTATTAGATGCAACAGACTCTCGGTCAGCTTTCTCCTTTTTCTTCTTACGCAGACTGCTTGTGTTCTTTGAGTTGCGCTTAAATGCTCGGTCATCCCGTCGCCTAAGAAATGATAGTTCCTCTGGATGCCTGATACCTGAAACACACAGATATATAGCATTAAACAAACAAATAAGTAATGAATACACATCCCTTTGGTTCAGTTAAGTGGTATTGGTATGCTTTTTTCGGAACACTTAACAGGATACATGTGTAATGTTAGTCCAAATTTTAATTTTAAAAATTGACAAAAACAATGGTGCAAAAAAATTTGTTTCTATTTATTTTGCGTTAAACTATACATAATACATGCTGGTGGGTAAAAAACTTAAATTGAGCTCAACTGCCAACCCAAGCCCCTGATCAAACCCAACAGAGGAGAGGTGTGCATGTTTAACACGATCAATGTTTCATATCACTGAACTCAATTGAAGTTTACCGGTAAATCAAATTGGTTTATAACTAAATGCAATATACACAGAAATAAAAAAAAAACACAATATGTTTCATTCAAGATGGCTGACTCCATGACACGTTAGTAGACTGTTAATTGGATAAGAGCAATTGCATCATACCATATTAAGACACGAGATTCATCAAATATTTGTTTGAATACATTGTACTTGATTAGGTCTAAACAGTTTCGTAAAATTGACTGAAATTGGGGGGAGGGGCTTATAAATTAGCATCCATTTCACGTTGTAACTGAAACCGATTGTGAACACGAGTGGAATGTACGAGAATGGTATATTAGGGCTTTGCTTGGCATTAGTTTCACCAATGGGGCTCATAGTGAGTGATAGATACCATCTAATCAGGCGCTCTAGATCCAACTATCAGCAAACCTGGAAGAAACCCTTACTTAGTCCTCAGTGTTTGCTGTGAAAGTGGATCATGTTCAGTTATGATACCTCAATAACAAGCAGCCTCTCGGCTGAGATAGCTCGGCTGAGATAGCTCCGCTGTTATCAATGCACATTTCAATTAAAGAACAGAAGATATCAATAGAAAATGAACAATATGCATAGTATCAATGCAATGGGACTTGCTGTTTTCAACAAGAATTCAAAAATATCATTTTTCACCATAAATGATTGTGGTTTTTAACAAGAATATCACTTTTTACCAAAAATGACAAAAAATTCACCAAAATTAGATAATTAAAGATATCATTACAAAATGAACAAAACTGAGAGAGGTCCACATGTAGCACCTATATATGTAATATCAAAGCAATTGGACTTGCGGTTTTTAACAAGAAGTCGATAATATCACTTTTATCAAAAATGACAAAAATATTCACCAAAATTAGAGAATTGACAATATCATTACAAAATGAACAAATTTGAGAGTGGTCCACATGTAGTACCTATATATGTAATATCAAAGCAATTGGACTTGTGGTTTTTAACAAGAAGTCGAAAATATCACTTTTTACCAAAAATGCCAAAAATATTCACCAAAGTTAGAGAAC